GTTACCTCTTGGTTCATGTTTCAATGCTCAACCACTGAGTCACATCAGCCTTACGTACATGTTCTAAATATAGAACCTTAAGGAGGAGTCCTCATCCCTAATGGAAATATATATATATATATATATATATATCAAAGTTGAGTACTTTCAAGCCACAAAGATCAAAGTGCAGAGATCAACTTAAGAAAAGGTAATGTATCAAAAACAGCAGCACCTTTTCTAATCTCACACCCAATGTAGGAATTCCTATCAAAAAAGCAGCCCCAGTAAATATTCAGCTATCTGCTTCTAATCTCCAACCCTTACAATTCCTCCCAGGGCAAGAACTGTCTCAGGCCGCAGCCCTCCTTGGCTGGTCAGCTGCCTATCTAAAAGGTTTTGTATTGCCTGGCTGGTGTGGCTTAGTGGTGGAGCATCCACCTATGAACTAGGAGGTCATGGTTCAATTCCTAGTAGGGGCACATGCCTAGGTTGCGGTCTTGATTCCCCAGTAGGGGGCGTGCAGGAGGCAGCCAATCAATGTTTTACTCTTATCACTGATGTTTCTATCTTTCTTCCTTTCCTTCCTCTCTGAAATCAATAAAAATGTATTAAAAAGAAAAAAGGTTCTGTATTATGTCAACCTGAAATCTGCCTCCCAGTAGTCTACCTACTAGGACCGACGTTGCTTTGCTGAAGATACTTAAGTCCCTTTCTACTATAAATTTCAAATTAACAATGAAAATTATTTCCATTTACCTGATTGCTTAGAATTTCTTTCTTTCCACTGAATATTTTTGCATTTGATTTGGTTTTGCCTCTCTTTTCGAAGTCGTTCTAATCGTTGAGCTTGAAAAGAAATATAACTATAAGTTTGTCAATGAAAGTTTACTATAAACAAAGACATAATTAACTACCTTTATATGAATAAAGATGTTTTATATTGTATATGTAGGAAAAAAGTCATAAAATTTTAAAGGTGGCACCCCTGAAAAGCAAATACCAACAAAAACATGAAAATATTCTTGATTTATAATTGAAATTAGAGGATATAAAACATTAATAGAGATCATAAAGATAGTATTAACATGGAAGAGAATAATAAAATGTGAAAACTTCTGTGATTAATATGACATTTCATTATATAAATCATTAATAACGGTCTTAAAGGAATTTTAATGCACAAATGAACTGAAGTGAATATTACATTACAGGAATAAAATTACTGTTATGAATTACTCTACCCGTTTCAAAAATTAAAGATAAATGAACTCAGACTAGACTATTAAAGTTTTAAATATAAAATCCTTTATCTAAAAATCATGAAAATTATAAAATGTCAAAGCTATATAAATTAGCATAGCTTTTCTTCAGTGGGCTGAAATAGTTTATAGGTAGTAAAATAAATGATTTGTATCTTTGTAACATTAGTCAAATCTTAAAAAGAACAATTTTTCTTATACAAAATTTTAAGATATGCTCAAAGGATTAAAAAGTAAATTCCTTGGTCACAGGACACCCCACAATCTTAATTATATAAGTGCTATCTTAAGAAATTCCAACAACAATAACACATCATCACCTAAAATTATGCATTTGTGATTATATTACCACAGGCAAAATCAGTTGAACCAATCTTTTAAATAATATTGTCCAACAACATCCATATGGACCACAATGGAAAAGAAAGTCACAATTAATGCAATCTCTTGAAATTAGTTTCCTATTGCACTTCCTATTGTGGCACAATGCTAACAAAGAAATAAATAAGTAAATTTCTCAAAGGCAGGAAATCATACACTCCTGCCTTAACACTATGGTAGGGAAACACGAACTAATCTTGCCAGAAATGTAAGCTATACTGGCAAAAGCATTCTGACAATGCCACTATATCTAACCAAATCCCACTCCATTCAATTGCAATTAATAAATGTGAAGCGTACAGCTGAAGTAATATAATCATGAAGCTCTCAATTGAGCAGCATTCTCCTACTGAAATCCATTCAACCTGTCATATAAGATATCATCTCAATAACCTACAAGAAAGTCAGTTTCAACTAGAGAACTGAGAATCAATGGTTCTAAATTATAGTCAAACCTTCACTCAAATCCTATTTTGATAAAAGTTCCTTTAGATACTAGAAAATGCTATTCATTATTTTCATCATGAGAACAAATTATTCTTTGTGGATGTCACAGAACACTGAATTGTGAACCAAAATCTTAACAGAACTTTCTCTGTAAATTGCAACCTGCTCTACCTGCAGTCTTCTTCGTGTAAGTATTTTCAATGTTCTACCACATCTCCTACCACTACTTTTCTTGTGAGTTAGCAGCAGGTTACTGTTATTGATTAGATTATATTTTCTGATTTATTCCACCCCCCTCCAAAGAAAAAAGGGATCTCCTAGCACACCCTGATATAGAACAATTATATATTCTAAATAATTTATCTAAGTAAAGGCCTTGGTTCATCACATTTCCCTTGAAATGTTTCCAAAAAAATAAAGCTGGAAAAGGGCAATGATAGGCTATGAACTAGGAGGTCATGGTTCAATTCCTAGTAGGGGCACATGCCTAGGTTGCGGTCTTGATTCCCCAGTAGGGGGCGTGCAGGAGGCAGCCAATCAATGTTTTACTCTTATCACTGATGTTTCTATCTTCATCGAATTTGGAATACTCATTAAAGGGGTTATTCAGCTGCAGAGGGCACTGCTCTAGGCGTACGGATAATATTGACTGCTTTCCAGAACTTGGAGGTTTCTCTTTGAGGGACTTTTTTTCAAACAGTGACTTTAACTCTTGGGCTGATTGCTTAGAATTTCTTTCTTTCCACTGAATATTTTTGCATTTGATTTGGTTTTGCCTCTCTTTTCGAAGTCGTTCTAATCGTTGAGCTGTATTTGAGCGTCTTCTAATACCAAAGTCCCAACTTGAGGTAATATCGACTGACTGGGCATATACATAGCCCTGAGTCTCACCATTGCTTCCCTGAATGTCTGACCCACTGTCTCCAGTCATTGAAGGAGGATGAATCTTCTCTAGGTCAACATCATGATCAATGAGAACCATCTCACACATTCCTGTATCATCACTGGTCACATGTGACTGTCGAATGTGAGCTAGAATGATAGTTGGATTGTCCAAGAAGGCCATCCTTTCTGTGGGCCAATTTCCTTAAAAGGCTATTTTCTCCTCTTCATATTGTTTCACAGGCTCACCTACCTAGAAACATGATGTACACAGCAATATTTAAGAATAAGGCAGAATAATTTTTCAAACAAATTCAATGTGTTAAAATGCTACCTTGAAAATCAACATTTATTCCTGTACCTAGGAGCCTAAAAGGATTAAGTCTAAGCTGCAAGGAAATCCTTATAAGCACTAAGGCAGTGGTTCTCAACCTTCCTAATGCCGCGACCCTTTAAGACAGTTCCTCATGTTGTGGTGACCCCCAACCATAAAATTATTTTCGTTGCTACTTCATAACTGTAATTTTGTTACTGTTATGAATCATCATGTAAATATCTGATATGCAGGATGTATTTTCATTGTTACAAATTGAACATCATTAAAGCATAGTGATTAATCACAAAAACAATATGTAATTATATATGTGTTTTCCGATGGTCTTAGGCGACCCCTGTGAAAGGGTCGTCTGACCCCCAAAGGGGTCGCGACCCACAGGTTGCGAACCGCTGCACTAAGGGCTAAGGCTCTAGTCAATGTGGTCTCCATGGTTTCAAGAGAGGATAGCTTGCTCTCTTGCAAAACAAATAATAGTAACCCCTTAGTCCACTCAAAGTATATAACTACTACTAAAACAATACACTTTCCTTTCTTTCTCCCTTTACTCCATGCAGTCTTCTCATCACTTTATAAGATGATAGAAGAACAAGTTGTATTTTCCTCAAACGATGTGCTGAAGTATTAAACTGCATTTCTTCAGTTTACATTCCCCCATCATATGGTTGTGAAGTATCTAATAGGGCATAGACAATGCTTTCTGAGTTACTAGGAAATTTATAAAAATGTACTACCAAAGTAATTTTGTTCAATAAATACATGTTCCTTTCTTCTGATTTAAGACAGTATTGGGCTTTTTAAAATAAAACTTATTAATCAAACTTCTCTTACTAGATTAATTTCTTATTTTAGAAACCTAATTATAAGAACTGCTTCCTGAACCCTATTAAAACTGCAATGCTGTTTATTTTGGGAACAAGATGGCACCTCCTCAGTTGAATGGGAATACACAACAAAGAAAATATTACAGAACCGTGGTTAAGAACCTAAGGCCCTATAGGCAAAACTGGGTTCAACTCCTGGCCCTATCACTTGCTAGCTATGTGATGTTGGTCAAAATAATGTTAACCTCTTTCAGCCTGTTTTCTTTCTTTATTTATAAAATGGGAATCTCATATAGAAGATAATGCAGATTAAGTGCTCAAAAGAGTCCCTGGCACATAACTAAATATTAGCTGCTATAATTTCAGCTTTCAATTTTTGTTTAAAGTAATCCTAAAAAACATCAACAATTTGCCCTTCTCTAGTAAATTCACAGCAGGTAAATCAAGTGTGTGCTTCCTTTGTGACAGAGGACTCTGCAGGACATCTGCGTCACCTCCCTGTCCTCCAAAATCATTAGAAGAACAACAATGTGAAAGCTGGATTGAATTTGTTCCTTCAACAGTCCTAGAATTTATTTTTAGAAAGACCTATATAACACCAGATTTTCTTGTCATTTGTTTCTTCTAGAAATGGAACATGGGGGAAATCTAGTTAATAAATCATTATAACTAACAGGTTTAAAAATTTTCTGTCTGGTAATATATTCTATTGGCATCATTTGGTGGTTCTTAAGTAAAGATACTGAGATTAAGAAAAAGTTTAACTGAGGAGCATCTCTAACCAAGTGAATTACATTATCTCAGTTATTTTCTAAATATATTCACTGAGTACTTATTTTACACAGGGGCTAATGGGAAATGCAAAGTTAAGTAAGGGATCCCTGAATCAAAATTTTATACCCTCACACACACCTAGTATGTCTCCAAATACAATGTGATTCATCTAAATGTCAAGTTTCTGAGGCAGTCAGTCTCAGAAATGTTAATGTCAACCCACCATTTTAAATGGATTAATCAAAAAAGTATTACAGAATTTGCCCTGGATAGTGTTGCTCAATGGTTACAGCGCCGGCTTGCACACTGAAGGGTAGCAGGTTTGATCCCAGACCCCAATCAGGGCACATGCAGGAGGCAACCAATCAGTGTCTCACTCTCCCTCTCCATCTCCCTCTCCTCACTCCCTTCTACTCAATGGAAAAAATATCCTCGGGTGAGGATTAATAAAAAGCAAAAGAAAATATTACAGAACTAAAGGGGAACATTTAAGTTTCACTTATAAAAACACAAACTTCTGCCCGGCCAGTGTGGCTCAGTTGGTTGAACATCGGCCTATGAACCAGGAGGTCACGGTTCAGTTCCCAGTATGGGCTCATGCCTGGGTTGCGGGCTCGATCCCCTGAATGGGGCTTTGCAAGAGGCAGCCAATCAATGATTACTATCTCTCTCACCCTCTCCCTTCCTCTCTGAAATCAATAAAAATATATTTAAAAAGTAAGTAAAGAAAAACTTCTTATATAGCCACAAAAAGATTTATACAACCACAGAATTATTTATAAATGAGAGTTTTTGTCTTGTAACAGAATCATAGGATCACAGATCACCAGAGCTGCAAATATCCTCACTGCAACAACCATCTACCCCAAAAAAGGAAGGCAACTAGTTGCCAGCAAAAGAGGAGCAGGTGCTTTTACCTTGTTTTGAATAGTTCTCCCCTGTACAAACAAGGGCTTCAGTGAGGAATCATACTTTCAATGGATGTTCTGGCACTAAAGAGTCAAATGGCAAAGGGCACAGCAACAGAAGTATACTGAAGTACCCTCCATCTTTTCAAGGAAAACGGACTTGCTCCCTCACTTCTTATGAAGAAGAGAGTCATGGGCAAACACTTGTGATGGCACACACCAACTCCCTAATTTTATCCTTACAGAACAAAGCCCTTAAAACACCCCAACATGAAAAGATACCTTCTCTATTAATACCTTATAACTTCATACATGAGGAAACTGTATGACTCACTCAACAAATAATGCACTTAATACCACTTCTTTTTTTTAAAAAAAAAATTTATTGATTTTTTTTTAAAAAGAGAGGAAGGGAGTGAGAGAGAAACATTGATTGGCTGCCTGCTGCATGCTTCCTGCCAGGGATCGAGCCTTCAACCTGGGCACATGCCCTGCCTGGGAATCAAACAGGCAACCTTTCAGTGCATAGGATAACACCCAACCAACATAGCCACACTGGCCAGGCCAATACTGGTTCTGTGTAAGGAGCTCCCCACAGGAAATGTGCTTTCCACCTCCCCTGACAAGTACTTGAGGATTCAGACTGTAAGTCTCAAAGACAGGGGCTATAATACCACATCCCTTCTGGCAACAAAGGATCTTATACATTTCAGGAATTCAAAAAATGTTGCTGCCTGACTTCCAAGGACTCTACAATTCTGTTTTAGAGATTAGACATATATGAACATGTCATGTGTAAGAGAGATTATAAAGAAAGGATTGCCTTTTTTCTATTAATACAAATACAAGAGCTCTTCAATGTGCTCTTCAAAATTGTCACCTTGGGACACTATCAACTTATTTCAACACTACTTTTTAAAACCAAATAATATGTTTTAAATCACTTAAAGAGCAGCAAATTATCGTTTGAAGGTAGATTTGATTTCTCACACAAAGATATTCTGAACACAGATTAAAACAAGTTATTTTCTCTCATCAGTTGTAACACGATTAAAGATGTTTAAAATTAATGTTGGCTGGGATTCAGAAAAATGGGACTTTTTAAAGGGTAATTTAGATGGAAAAATTCTGTAGATAGATGTGGTGTTTGCACAACAATGTGAGTATACTTAATGGCACTGAACTGTACACTTGAAAATGGTTAAGATGGTAAATTTTATGTTATATATATTTTACCTCATTTTTAAATTTAAATTAAAAAAAAAGATCTATGAAGTGCCACATTAAACAAAATGAAATGTTTTCTTCTTGCTGTTTATAGCACTTTTCAAAACTTTTAAACTACTAATGTATCTTGTGAAGCTCCAAGAGTGGGGAATCTAGTAACACAACATACTCCAAACCCCAAACTTATCTGATCCCTAAACATTATTTTCCTCTATGAAAACGATAATAAATCAATGTATAACAAAGTCTCACAGAACATCGTTTAGAAATGCTGCCCTACACTTTTACAAATGCTATTTCTTCGGGCCCTGAATGACTTTCCTGGATGCCACCAAACCTTGAATCTGAGATAGTCCTTTTTTTATACCTTTAGGCCATCGGATAAACAATAATTTCAGGCACCAGGAAGTCTGTTCCCCTAAGACGTCCTACCTTTCAAAGGTTCTCCCACTTTTTAACTTCAGGGTCTTCAAAACATAGTTTTACCAAAACTGGAAGCAATAGAGACATCATGCAGAGTAGGAGGATGTTAAGAGATGTCTCAAAATAATATGACCATTTTTAATGTACTGGGTGGGTCTCCTTTTATACTTCATTCAACAAATATTTATCATTCATGCAACAAATATTTATTAAGTTCCAACTATGTGCTTAGTATGGTTCTAGGTGCAATGTGGATGCTATTGCCACTTTACATAACCATTTGTGTTCATTAACGATCATGTGACTCTCCTGTGGTACCTTGGCACATGCCCTATACAGAGGGGAAAGGAGAGAAAGATAGGGAGGGAGAGGGAAGGAGGGAAGGAGGGAAACATCAATCGGTTGCCTCCCCATACCTGCCCTGACCAAGGATCAAACCCAAAACCTTTCAGTGTAAGAGGATGATGCTCCAACCAACTAAGCCACACTGGCCAGGACAACACAAATATATTTTTAATAATAACTTTACACACATACACCTTCCAAACTTTACTTCTAATAGCTTATAAAACAAACAAACAAACATGCCCTAGCTAGTATGGCTCAATGGATAGAGCGTCAGCCTGCAGACTGAAGGGTCCCAGGTTCGATTCCGGCCAAGGGCACATGCCTGGGTTTCGGGCTTGATCCCCAGTAGGGGGCGTGCAGGAGGCAGCCAATCAATGATTCTCTCTCATCATTGATGTTTCTCTCTCTCTCCCTCGCCCTTCCTCCATAAAATCAATATATTAAAAAACAATAACAACAACACACAACTAAGGTACAACATAGTAAAAAAGTAGATGAGAAAAGTGGCAGAGGGGAAGTCATTCAGAATGAATCCATAAGCCAGTGCATGGCACAGATCTTGAACATTTCCTACAGGTAGACTACAGAATCTCTGAAGCAAATTTTACAGACGAAAACGCTGAAAGGTTAAAAAACTGCCCAAAGCCAAGCAGCTAATAAGTACAAGAATCAAATCGAAGAGCTTGGGATCTTAACCACTATACAGCCTCTCTAAACAGAAGAACAAAGAATTTTGATAGTTATAATAAACATGATTTTTAAATATCCTGACATTGAGCTCTTTGGGTTCTGGGGCCTGAAAGAAATTTCTTCCATGGGACTTTATGAAAGATGTAAGATCTTTCTCCTCCTCTTCCTCTCCTTATGAAAGATGTAAGACAGCAAATGTATTATGCAGTAAACTAGACCCTTACTTAGCCTCTCCTCCGCTAATGCAACAGAGAATTGTTGAAGAGCAAGATATAAACAGTGCATGCAACGACTGCTCAAATATAAAAGTCACAACATTTTACACACGAAAGGAACTTCAGAGATCATCTACTTGTTGACCTGAAACCACAGAGGGTGGGTGTCCTTTAAATTCTCACTTAGGTCTAAGTATCTTTTTTTTAACATCCCTAGAGATTTGTGAAACTTCAGCTACAAAGTCCATACCTAAAAATTCTGTTTCTTCTGTTTCTTTAAATAACTCCCATAAGCAAATGAACCCTAAGAACCTGAGATAGGCAGCAACATGGCTTAAAATGCTCAAGTTCAGCGAATGGCTAAAAGGAAATTTCCCTTCTTGAACTTTCAACACTCCAAACATTCACTTCTCTGCCAGGCAGACTTCAAGTCCCCTCACCTGCAATCTGTGAAAACTTGTCTAAATAAGCAACAGCCTGAGGCTTCTCAAAGGTCTGCAAACTCCCAATCAAAAATTACTGCTGCCCCATCAATGTGTCATATAAATGTTGGCATGTTAATTGTGTATTTATAAGATTGTTAATGGTTAGTTAATTTACCTCCCACACTATTATTGTACTTGAAATGATTTAACGTCTGCTGAGGGAGTTAACAACATGTAACAGCAGATGCGAGATTTTTTTTTTACCTTTCCACACTGTACCCCCCACTTCATGCTATTAGCATTAGGCAAGTTAAACATGATTCCTATACAAGATTCCTTAAAAGTGTTATAGAAGTACTCACATTTATTTTTCACAAACAGGAATGATCACAAGTTAGAAATACAAAAGCCTTTTTATTACATGCAAAGTCTTCCATTTGTAAAAACCAACAGACCCTTTTTTAAACTAAGATTTCAACATTCTTTGATCTAGTTAAAGTTCTGAATTCATACCTCCTGGAATTTGAAAATAATTGAAATGACCATTAAAATAAAATGCACCTTATTGCTTTTAAATCTCTTTTTCTAACACTCTCCAATTTAACTCTAAATTAAATCTTCATTTATTTTTTAGACCAGCAAAAAAAATTAAGCTTTTTTTCCCCCTAGGGGAATTAAAATCTCCTCTACGTAAAAATGTCTAATTTCATTACACAGTAAATAGTGAGATCCTATATCTGGAGTTTAATTTTTCCTTTCACGTTTTTATTTCTATATTTTAACTAAAGGTACTTACTAGACTAAATCAAAACAACTGAAATGAAATGCTTGTATCTTCTTTTGAATAGGAGGTTCATTCACTACATCACTGCGAGGTAGGCACTGGGAATCCTACAAAAAATTATATAAACACTGGCCTGTACCCTCCAGAGACTGCTTTTACTGACATAAGAGCAACATAAGGCAATACATATTAACCACCAAATGAGATACAAGAACAGTATGTTTTCCAAGAAGCTTCAGGAAGGAAGAGGGTCTCATGTAAGGATGGCTAAGCTTTCATTAGGCAGAATCACAGAGAACGGTAATAGATGACATTTACTAAGCTTGTACTATCAGCTGTACTTTTCATGTAACAACATATTTTATCCTTACAACCACCACAAGATGTAGGTATTAATATTAGCTTCATTTTATAGATAAAATAAAATTAAGGTTTAAAGGCATTAAGTAACTTGCTCAAGGTCACATGGTAGATTTTTAAAAGGCCAGTCTTTGCAGCTCCTCCCAGCAAGACTCACACTGTGATCTACTTTGAGCAACAGAACGTAATGGAATATGGGCTTCTGAGCCTTGATTTCAGGAAAACTTGCCGCTTTTGCTGTTGCCTTCTCTGGAATAATACATTCATCATGGGAAGACGTCTGGGATAAAAGACTACATGGAGAAGCGTGGTGGCCACCCAGCTGTCCTGCTGAGGCCCCCTGATGAGTGACTTAGGACATGTGGAACCCACTAGACCCTATCAACCTACCAGAGCAAGTCTTGTATCCTAACAAATGTTCCCTTTAGGTAAAGGGACACTGACCCTTGATTTTTCTTTTCTTGTACCACTAACCTCCACCTGAAATGTCTCTGAATCTTACCATGTGCCAAGGTCCAGTTAAAGGGAGCCTGGTACAAGTACAGGGCTTCTCACACTCTCCACGGACACACCTGAAGGGCAGAGGAGAGTGGGCGTAAGTCAAGGTATGACAGAACAGAGGGAGAGCCACCTAGAGCACCATGCTACAAAAATTTATTTTTAGAATTCACTCATATTTGCATCCTATCCTATAATATACTACACCTAGAAAGAAGTGCTTTAGTTTTGAACTTAAACTATAGAGTGCCATGCCTACTCTGTAGCGTCTAAAACCTCTTGGCACATATTGGGATTCTTATAACCCCAGTTTGAACAGCAAGGTCTAGAGGAAAAACACAGACTTTGGTGTCAGAAAGATCTCATTTTGTGAAGATAAAATGGACAAATCAAGACCTAATTTTTGCTCAAAAGATACTTCCTATGACAAGTATGAAGAACAACTGTAATTATTAACAGCAAACTGTATATAAGTTCTAAACACGTTAGACTAAAACCTCTATTATTATGCAACTGTTATAAAATAATCTATATTTTCAAAGTGTTTTTGAAATACTGTATATTAACAGCAGTAGCTGTGAAACTTCAGACAACCTAACCACCCTCCACTCCCAAAACTCCTACAATAACTGTGGAGAAAAAGGACTTAGCACACATGTACTTTTTACAACTTTAACAGTTAATACCAAATATAATCAAAAGGAGCTTAACTACTCAGTGGGAATGGTGCTCCTAATATTGCTGTAAACTTAACCTCCTTAACTGGAAAAAGTAGAAAAGGTACTTATAATGCAAATTACAAACATTACAGTCAAATCATGCATTGGAATGAAAATAGATGGAAATCGTGTTTTTTAATCACCCCTCCTCCTACCCAAAGAATGTTAGACACACTTGATGGAAATGCTGCTCACCAAGTAAAGGTTACTCTGAAATACTTCAAATTCCGTAAGCACTCAGGACTGCAAAAACTGTGGGAAGAGAATGTTCCAAGCACAGACTAACGGACAGAAGGCACAAATGGAATAAACCCTGATACATGATGACTACCTAAGGAAGTCTAATCTGAAAACTGAATATATTTGTTCTCAAGTCATTGAACAAGGTTCAGTTTCTGAAATATGTTCAAAGTAACATATTTTGTAAGTCTAAAGCAGGGGTCCTCAAACTTTTTAAACAGGGGGCCAGTTCACTGTCCCTCAGACCGTTGGAGGGCCGGACTATAGTTTTAAAAAAACTATGAACAAATTCCTAAGCACAGTGCACATATCTTATTTTGAAGTAAAAAAACAAAATGGGAACAAATACAATATTTGTATTTGCATGAGGCCCGTGGGCCATAGTTTGAGGACCCCTGGTCTAAAGTATAAATAATAGGGATTTGTTGTTAAAGATAATTAAATAATTCCTTCACCTAGTTTAGATACACAGGATGGGCAAAAGTAGATTTACAGTTGTGAGTGTGTGAAACATGGTTTACTCTTGTATGATTATTTATTAACTAGAGGCCCGATGCATCTGCTCAATGGTCGTTCCAGAAGGTCATTCCGCTGTCCGGTCTAATTAGCATATTAGCTCTTTATTATATAGGATTATTGTATTCTTTTCCATATGAACAACTGTAAACCTACTTTTGCCCCACCCTGTATAAATCTCTATCACATTTCAAACTTAAGTTTTTACATATTTTATTTTTTTACACCAACAATTTTATTTCTTATCATGTGTTTGTTGCCTAAGCTTACGAGAATACAAGTTATAACAAATCAAAATTTATATTATAATTTTGGGGATGTGATCACCCTTTTAATTCTGTTCATATTTTAACAAGGCAACTTTAACCCAGTGATCAAAGCTTCATTAGCTTGTAAACAAACTGTTTCTCAGGTAAACTGAATTGCACCACATCAGAAACTTAAGCAAATAAATAAATACAAAAAAGGCAGGGAATATAAATTAGGGCAGACAAATCTGTATCTAGCCTCATGCCGGTAAAGAGCATTCTATCAATATAGTGAAATGCTAATCTCCTAATTAACAACCTAATTAGGTAATTATGGCTTTGCAGAGGGATGCCGAAATGAAATATGACAACATGGTCACCTCTTTATATGGCACCTGTGGGCCTTTTCAGCTGTCATTGCAAAGAGTGCAATATCAATTTGAGCAGATGACAAAGTGCTGTCATTTTTCATTCTGGTAATATACAGAATGCTTTGGACAGAAGCAGTTTACAAAAAGAAACATCTTGCCGGGTATTTTCCTAATTTAAATATGCTCAAATATTTTGTCAAATTTTTGCACACTTTTTATATTGCATACAGGATTACCATGCACATTTAAAAAAAAAACTTAACTGGCCGTCATGCTTAACTGTGCTTGCTGAAACTATTGCAATTTCAATGATGAAGTATACGAAAATTAGAAAAGGATAAAAGGCACCAATACATTATGACTTTAATATTTATGCATTCTTCATATCACAGAAAAATTAAAATCCATATTTTGATCTTTAATTTTTTTTCTTACAAAAATGGGAATTTACACAATTTTCCATAACAAAGAAGCACTTCCCAATATCTAAGCATTCAATCCACAAAACAGCTCTATTCAAGGGTGGGAAAAGTACAATTCTTCGTATGGAAAACAGAACAATAATTAATAAATAATAATACAAGAATAAACTCTGTTTCGTGTACTCACAACTGTAAGCCTACTTTTGCCTACCCTGTACATATCAATGCCCAGCCTCACAGATATGAGAGTGCACTCTCTTTGAAAGACAGACCTGGCCGGATGGCATGGCTCAATGGTTGAGCATCGACCTATGAACCAGGAGGTCACTGTTCCGTTCCCAGTAAGGCCATATGCTCTGGCTGCGGGCTGGGCCCCCAGTGTGGGATGTGCAGGAGGCAGCCAATCAATGATTCTCTCTCATTATTGATGTTTTCATCTCTCTCACTTCTCCCTTCCTCTCTGAAATCAATAAAAATATGAAAAAGAAATATGTAATACTTTCAACAATAAAGAATTTAAATTAAAAAAAGAAAAGAAAGATGTGTCACAGGACTACTCACTACCCACTGGCCATTAAAGAGGTGATGGTAGGTAGACTGGGACACTGGTACATTCCAACATGAATACAACTCTTCTTCCATAATATTGTCTTAAATAGGATTTTGTGGGAAGGACAGGAAGGCTAGCTGGGAAACCTCAACATCATTTATGTCAAGAAACATGAAACTAAATTCTAACAACAGAGGTGAAAACTAATTTGAAAATACAACCCATTTGTAACTCCAAATCATTTGCATGAATGAAAACTTTTTTTGTCAAAATGATATTCATTGGCTCTATATTAATACCAAGTTTAAAAGATTTTTATTAAAAAGTTATGTTTATCAGAGAACGTTTTAGAAAACGAAAACGCATAAAGACCTATCCTCCTACCACCTATTTATTTTCCTTCTTATGTATGACATAACTGGGATCATACTTTATATAGATTTATATCCTTTTTTCATTTCATGTTACATGATAAGCACATTAATGTTATTAATATTCTTCTAAAACATTTAAAATGACTGCACAATGTTCCCATCCTATGACTTTTCCATAATTTCTCTAAACCCTTTGTTAAATACTAAAGTTGATTCTAATTTTTACTATTCTAACTGCTATAATGAACATGTTTGAACACGAATATTTCCTACATCTCTATTTCTTTAACAACAGTTCCTAGAAGTGGAATTGTTCAAAAGGCATGCGTGACTTCTTTTAAGGCTTGTGATAAATACTGCCAAAATTCTTTCCAGAAAACTTTTACCAACTTATATTCCCCTTAGCGATATATGAATGACCACCATATCTCACCACCAACCTCTGCCAGCAATGAGTATTATTAGATTTCTATTAAATCTTTAAACTTCAGATCATAAGATTATACCTGTAACCAAACATTCTCAACATAACCAATAACAACTTTCTGTAGGAATTAAGTTTAAACGATCAAGGAGGGCCATGATTGATGATGGTCCCAAAACAAGGGCCAGTTCCAATATTCAAATCTAGAACAGCATGGAATAGTGAAAAAGCACTGTAATTAGAGCACAAATCAAGATTCAAATCCTACCACTGCCGTTTCAGTAGCTCTCTACCTTGAACCACTTTACTTCGCTAAGCTTCAGTTTCAGCATTTGTAAGATGGGAATGAGAACATAATATCCCCTTGTTCTAACACTTCAACAGGTAGTCATGGGCACACACAGAAAAAAAGTAATATAAGCAACTGAAGGTATTCATTGTTATTTAACAGATCAAATCATTTAATAACCTAAAAACAATATTGAAACCCTTTTCTCGATAGTGCACAGTTGGTAGGTGTGCTATGTAATGCACAAAGCACAACTAGAAATTAGACTAATTTCATAATCCAGACATGAAAATGAAAAGTCTCACTCCTTCATAATCACTCCATAGAATCATTTGTTACATTATACTAACATCTGAATGTCTTGGGCCCCTGAAAGATGGTACCTGCATCTCTCCATAAGTTATTTCATTTAATCCTCACAAGGAGTATATGAGATTGACATTCTTGTCCTCATTTTGCAGATTGTGATGGTCAGTTTATAACTGACAAAGCCAGTATTCAAATACAGGTAAATGTGACTTCAAGATTCAAGCCTGCACCTCAGTTCTTTGTTAGTCTCTTTTATATCAGCAACTAAAATTCAGATTAAAAATTTACTTTTGTTTTAAAAAGAAAACCATTCCTTCAAATAATTTTCTACCAATTTTTCTGCTAAAGCAGTACTTATCCTATATAACAAAAGGCTAACATGCAAATAGACTGAATGGTGGAACAACCAGAACAACCGAACAACCGGTCACTATCACATGCGCAGGCCACTGGGGGCGTGCGGGGAACGTGGTGGATGTTGGCTGCGGCAGGATGGTAGAACAGGTGAGTGGGGGCGCCAGACCAAGGCGGGCGCCTCGGCTGCGGTGGGGTGGTGGAGCAGGTGAGTGGGGGCACCAGACCAAGGCAGGTGCCAGTTGCTGTCATCAGGGCAAGCCTCTGGTGGTTACTAAAAATTTTTTGTTTCCCCGCCCCCCAGTCCCACCTGGTGCTTGCACCCACTGCCAGCGTCAGAGCTGCTGCTCACACCCACAGCCAGCGCCAGAGCCGCCACCCGTACCCACTGCCAGTGCCTGGCGCTGGTCCTGATCGCTCAGCGCCATCAGCGGGTGCAAGCAGCAGTTGCTGGCTGTGATCACCCCTGAGGGCTTTTCTCCCTCCCCCTGCTCCTGAGGGGTGATTGGGGCAGCAGCTGCGCTCGCACCCGCTGCTGGCACAGCGGGACTGCCAGCACACAGAGGACCAGGGGCCATGGTGGGAGGGGCCGGGCGGGGGCGTGGAGGAAGGGTCAAGACCTGCCCCTGTACCTGCCTGAGGTCTTTTCTACCTCCCCCTGCTCCTGAGGGGTGATTGGGGCAGCAGCTGCGCTCGCACCCGCTGCTGGCACCATCTGCAGATGCAAGCGGGGCTGGTGCCATCAGCAGGTGCGAGTGGCAGCGGGAGCGGGACTGCCAGCACACAGAGGACCAGGGGCCATGGTGGGAGGGGCCGGGCGGGGGCGTGGAGGAAGGGTCAAGACCTGCCCCTGTACCTGCCACAGCCTCGCAGCCCACAATTCCTTTCAAGGTGCACGAATTTGTGCATTGGGTCCCTAGTTTATAATAATATACCTTAAAATGAATCTATAGGGAACTAAAAAAAATGTTACATCGTTTTGAATGTGTAAAATTCAGTCCATTTTGTCTGCATCAATAATAAAAGCATATTCATAAAAGTGTACTCAAGTATAGGATATGAATTTAACACTGCATGTATGTATGGGTAAATGTGACATAATATTCAATTTATTTCACGTGATTACTATAATTTAATTCCAATACTTATTCTAATACCTCTTGCTGTTTCCAGAATTTAAGTTTTGTTTTGTAAAAGGTTTCTCCCATTTTTCTCACTTTCAATTACTTAAAACTGTTTCCTTCTTTGGGTCCAAATTTTGTGTTCCCTATATTAAATCTATCTTCCCAATATATCTAGACTGCTGCCAACACAAGTTAATAAATTCTGAATGACTGCTCAGGATTTATTTTCTTCATTTTTATATTCCATGTTATGTCCTTATACAATAGAGTATGAATGAAAACAAGTATCTAGAAGACCAATATTTTTTCCAATTTTCACCTGGTGGAAGCTGGGTATTAAAATAAAAATAAATTAAACTCTTGGGCTGGGAACTCCCTGCCCATATTTCTCTCACTATGCTGGGTGTCTCTATGCCCCCTTTCAATCTTGTGTATATATAGTCAACAAAGCACTGTATGCATTTGGGGAGCACCTGGCCTGTCAAGGTCCTTTCCCAGAAGTAATGAACAAAGAAGAGGGGGAAGAGCTGAGCAGTAGCTCCCTACCTGCCAAGAGAGGAGAAACAGCACTTTAGATTTGAACCATTCTCTACTGGGTCTACCAGTAATCAGCTGTGTAACTTTAAGCGTGTCAATTAGAATCAGAAAGCTTGGCATCCTGAAAAGATTTCAGCAAGACTTGATTTGAGCTCCTCATTATCATCCAGATGGGAAAAAGATACAAAAATTTCTAAGTGGCTCAACCAAAATCAAAAGGCTGTCAGCAGCATAGCTACAGTCAGACCTCAAGCCCCTCTCAATCAAGTGCACTTTCGACTAAACTGTCTTTCACTGGGAGCCAATTTTGTAATCTCAAGAGGTCATGTTTACCCCCCATGTTCACTCCATGGCACTGTACAGAGGACCAACAGAGGCAAGAGATTTTATAGCATTTAAAGTGCTAAAAGTATTCCAAGGTCATTTCCTCATCAAGCCCCATCCCTCCTGAAATTTAGTCTGATTATATAATAAAAGCATTCGCCCTGCCACTTCCCCAAAGACATCAGTACGAGTCAATTATAAAACCCTCTCACTCTGGCAATTTACCAGTACACGTTTATCAGTAATCTCGACTTGAGTTATACCTCCTGCTTTGAACAGTGGATACCAAAATTTCTGCGATAAAGTACATCGGAGTTCACAGTCAGACGGCCTAGGACTGTGCACAGCACACAAATGTGCTTTAGTCCACACAGCAATTTTTTAAATGTCAATTTTTTAAAATGAAATACATACATTAAACCCCAGCCCTGGCTGGGTAGCTCAGCTGATTAGAGCATCAAGCTACTACACCAATGTTGCAGATTCAATCCCCAGTCAGAACACATACAAAAATCAACCAATGAGTGCATAAATAAGTGGAAAACAAATAGATGTTTCTCTCTCTCTCTCTCTCTCTCTCTCTCTCTCTCTCTTGCCCTCTCTCTCCCTAAAATAAAAATTAAATTTTTTTAAAAAAATAAATACATTAAAACCCAGATTTCCAGCATCTCTTCTTTTGTTGTTGTTAATTTTCACCTAAGGATATTTTCCCCATTGCTTTTCAGAGAGACTCGAAGGGAGGGAGGGAGAGAAGGGGGGGAAAGGGGAAGAGAGAGAAGGAGAAATGGGGAGAGAAAGGGAGAGAGACATTGATGTGAGACACAAGGATTGGTTGCCTCCCCTGGAGGGAGGTGGGGGAGGAAGTAAGGGGGGTAGTGAACTGGCAACCAACCGCTATCTTCAGACTGGACATATGCCATCCAGTTCATCAAGGTCTGTCCTACTTTCTATATTACATCATGGGCATTTGAGTTGGAGACCCCTGAGGCAGATGCTCAAAAGAAAACTAACTTTATAAATATTTGTTCACTCTTTTGGAAAGTCCAATTTTTTTTCCTGGCATTATCACTCACTAACTAGGTGACTCTTGGGTCCCCTACTTAATCACTAAGCTTCATCACCTATCTCAGAGAATCATGAAGACTGAAGGAAATGAAGTATAGGAAAAACATTTAACAATGACCAGAACTTACTGTAAGTGCTCAATTATTTTAAATTTAGCACAAGTTGAAATGAGCTAACTTTTATGTCAAAACTTCTCAAAAACTTAAAACCCACAGGAAACTCAAGGTCAGAGAACCTACTATGGGAAAAAAAAACATCATGTGACAGAATTCCTTGTCATATAATTGGCATCTATTGCTGTGTTCTTAATAATAAGGCCTACATATCAGAATAACAGATTTCCAGCAAATTCTCAGCCTGACCCTTTAGAGATCCCTTGAAGTACAACAGTTTCTAAAGTCCTCAGTTATGAGTCAACTGGCAAAGCAAACCCCCCACGAAAAAGAAATATATTTAACATCACAGAGGAGGCAATGAGCTGCTTGAGTGCAGGGGCCACATTCATTCCTCAACATCCCTACTGCCCAGCACAGTGACCGGCTCACTGAAACAGCTCAAGGGCTAGCTCTTCTCTGAAGCCTCTTCAGAGGGTCCCCGTCCACACCGCAAAGAAGAGGGAGATTCCAAAGTCTAACAGATAATCCCCTCCACTCACAGCCCCAACAGCTGCATAAACTCATGGAATTTATTTACTCTCTCTGTGCTCTAGTTTGCTCATCTGTAAAATGTACACTTTCCAGTACAGAAGTAAATGAGACAATACTTTTAACACAATGTTGGCACACAGTCAGTGCTCATTAGCTATCATTATTAGTGTTCCCTCTTTTGTCCTCCTTCGTATCCTCGGGGATTGCTATCTTTGTACCTCAAGCACTTTACTACAGTTCACCAGCACACAAATATGCCTCCCCCACAAGAATGTCAACAACCTCAGAGTAGGGACCTGGTTTTATTCCTCTTTGCATTCTCAGGGTCTAACATTTTCCCTGTTATGAAATCACAGATCCTCAAAGTATTTATTAACTAGGGAAGTTTTAAGAAGAAACTGGAATTTACTGCTCTTGCCTAACACTCAATCCCTCACTGACACTGACCCCTAGTGACCCTCCAACTTTATCTTCCAGTATCTCCACACTAAAAAGCAGCAATGGCTTGCTTTATTAAGACTGGCCTACTCACCACTCTAAAACCATACCAGTCATTGCACCTTTGCATCTTATAGTTATCATTTCAGAGACCTTACCATGTGTCAGGCCTTTTATCCACATTAGCTTATTACATATTCACAGTACTCCATGAGGTGCATGTTATCCCCCTATCCCAGTGATCGGCAAACCGTGGCTCGCGAGCCATATGCGGCTCTTTGGCCCCTTGAGTGTGGCTCTTCCACAAAATACCACATGCAGGTGCGCACGGACAGGAAATGTTGTGGAGTGAAAGATGTAGTGTCGAGGATTGAGAAAGGTATGTTGAGATGGTTTGGACATATAAAGAGGATGAACGAAATGAGATAGACGAAACAAGTATACAAGATGAGTGTGGATGGGAGAGTTGGAAGGGTTCAACCTCAGCGAACGTACCTCAATCAGATTGAGTACGTTTTTAGCAATGGCCAGCTTAGGAGCACCCTAATTAAGTTAATAACAAGGTACCTACCTATATAGTTTAAGTTTAAAAAATGTGGCTCTCAAAAGAAATTTCAATTGTTGTACTGTTGATATTTGGCTCTGTTGACTAATGAGTTTGCTGACCACTGCCCTATCCCAGCCCATACTTGAGGAAAATAATGCTTAGAATTAAGAAACTTGCCAAAGGTCACATATCTAGCCAGAGAAGGAACCAGGAATTGAATACAGAGGTCACGGTTATTCTCTACACAATGCCTTCCTTTCTCATATCCAAAGCTGAGCTGACCCACCTTCTACCTTCTTGCTTTGAAAGATCATGGTCTTCCCTACATTAAAAAGAACACCTATACCATTAATTTTGACACTCATATTTCTTTCTCTTGTATACTTGTTTCAATCTGTACTTGATCTCAAGAGCTATGGTGTGAGAAAGAAGGCAAAACACATAATGAAAAAAGCACAGATGTAGGCATCAGACAGACCTGGGCTTGAATCCTGGCTCTGTCTTGTACCAGCTGTGTAATTTATCCCGAGTCTTCCTAATCTGTAAATTGAGATTAAAATGATTAAACAAGAGAAACCTATATGTAATACCCAGTACACAGTAAATAATAAAGCTTAGTTAACCCCACATAATGAAGCATTACCTGGCCACAGCACACTCCTCAAAAACAAATGACCCAACCCCCGTTCTATGTTATCACTGTATCACAGAAAGAACTCTCACACAGTGTACTTATCACTCTGTGTTGGAATTATTCCCTTCTCTCCTCACTAAATTGAGCTCCTTGCTACAAGGCCCGAGTCTTACTTACCTCTACATTGTCTGGCATGGTACCTGGTATCTATCCATGCTCAGTAAATGCTTGCTAAGTAAAATAATTACAGTTACAATGAGTGTTTACAGCAGTGGCTCTCAACCTTCCTAATGCCGCGACCCTTTAATACGGTTCCTCATGTTGTGGTGACCCCCAACCATAAAATTATTTTCGTTGCTACTTCATAACTGTCATTTTGCTACTGTTATGAATCATCATGTAAATATCTGATATGCAGGATGTATTTTCATTGTTACAAATTGAACATCATTAAAGCATAGTGATTAATCACAAAAACAATATGTAATTATATATGCGTTTTCCGATGGTCATAGGCAATCCCCGTGAAAGGGTCATTCGACACCCCCCCCAAAAGGGGTCGCAACCCACAGGTTGAGAACCGCTCGTTTATAGGATTCTAGAAAAGAAATAATTTCCAGCTGGGATTGTACTGAATTGGTTGAGGGAGGCCAATTTCAGCTGGGCCCTGGGTAACACCTCAGTAGCTCGCCAACAGAAAAGGGGAAACCTTCTAGGCAGGGAGAATGTCCTACAAAACACACGTGACAAAGAAAAGAGCAAATATGACTGGAGGCCCTACTTGGGTAAAGGATCAGAGTAGAGTAATTTAGGAAGGGGGCCTTTTCAAGGATAGCTGGAACTTTAGCCAGGCACCAGGGTCAGGGGGTGTAGAGGGATGTAAGTTCAGTATGGATCACAGTAGCTGAAGGTAGGTATGAGCACAAAGCTGAATGGAAAAGGGGCCACCGGCACGCCTCTTGGCTCCAGCAAGCTTGCAAGTGTGTAAACCAAAAAAATTGAAAACAACGATCAAGGCTTCATCAAGAACTCTTTCGGCATTTATTGAGCATCTCATGTGGGCTCGCTGTATACGAAGAATAAAAGATGGGGTCTCCTCATCCTCCTCTAGTGGGTTTTTAAATTAGGAATCCACCCCTTCTGCTCGTCAAAACAGAATGAGCATGTTGGTTTTGTTTGAACTAATGTTTATAATAAACACTTGTCTCCGTTTGACCATTCACACCTGGGGAAGTTTTGAACTTTGCTGGTTTTGACTGACAACATGATGCTTTGCACGGTGCCAGATCCTGTCATGGGCTTCAAAAACGACTCGCGATCATTCAGGATGAAATTCTAACCAATTTCTGAGTCGACTTTTTGGGCCCACGTTAAAGTAATACTCTTTATAGTTTAAACTATACTCATTTTTTTCTACTTTAAACAGATTTAGAAAATACTCTGTCACTCCCCAAACGAAAAAGCTGAATCAAAGTTACAGCAGCACTCCACCAAGAAAAAGAAAAAGTTCTGCAAGGCCATTTACCGCTTTGTGGCAATAGGGGGAGGAGGCGCTAGGAACCGGAGGCCACGCAGGCAATGCTTTAAAAACTTGATTTTCATATTGTGACGATTAGGACACCTAAATGTGGGGCCGGAAAGTGCCAGGGCCAATAGCATCCTCCTCCCTCCTCTCACTCCTCCCCAACACTACCAGACCCACTAGCTTCTCCTCCCCCAAGTCACACACCCAGCTAGCTGGCTGTCAGACTCACAGCAGCCTCCGGTTCTGGAAAGGGCCAGGAAACGGACGCTCACGGGGGAGAGAGACCTGAGCAAGGGCCAGGCAAGCTGTTGCCGGGCAGCGCCGGGCGCGGAGGAGTGAGGAGCCGCTAGGCTCTCCAGATGGCTGGCAGGAGAGCGAGCGAGTAAGGTAGCGGCTGGGGCAACCTTTACCTGAAAGTGCTGCCACGCTACCGGCCGGGGCGACCCGGGACACGTTCCTGGGGGGAGGGCCCGGCTCCTCGGTGCCTCTCGGCCCCAGCCCCGAACTCTCGGAATCGTCGGGGACTGGCGCTCCTCCCGGCCGGCTCAGCTGCCGCTTTCCGGGCTCGCCCTCATGCCCCGGCCGCTCGCCGCCGCCCGCCGGCAAAGCAGCAGCCCAGTTGCCCCGAGTCTCGCCACGACCCGGAACCACACCTCACGCACCGGAAGTCCCTGACTGGGACGGAGCTGCTGGCTGGGGACGTAGTGCGCAAGCCCCAGAGCCGGGAGCGAAGAGTGGAGCCCTCCCGGGGGGGCGGGGCCGAACGGAAAGCCGTGCGCATGCGCGCCACTTTCCTGGCACCAGTTGAGGTCAGGGTCAGAGATCAGCTGAGAGGCTAGCCCTGGACTTGGGTAGGTGGAAACCAACGTTAGCGGTCTCCTTCGAATCTCCTTCTCCTCTCTCCCCGTTTCTATGGGAGGAAGCCCTAAGGTCCTAAAAAGTGAGTGATGAGGCAGCTTAGCCTCTGGGTCAGAAAGACCCAACTGGCTGTGCGTCCTAAGACAAGATACCTCCCCTCTCTGACCCTTGGTTTTCCCACCCATACTGTAGTTCCAATTTTAGAGTATTGCGGTGAGACTCAAACGGGATGATGCTTTAAAAACACTCAACACAGTGCCGGACACAATAAACGCTTAGTAAATGTTAGCTGTTACTCTTATTATCGGCAAAATGGAGGTGATAATTATCCTCCTCAAGAACTGAAGGGAGTGTCCATAAGATATGAGGACTGACTGAGAACAGGGGCTCATTGTTAGTGGGGTCTCTCTCTCAGCGGGAATCAGTGGGAGAAGCCACTGGAAGGGGAACGAACTCAAATGCAATGATGTATCTCTCCTACCTGAGAGATAGTCCAGAAAGTCTCTTTCAAAAATGCACCTTAGGGCCCTGGCCAGGTAGCTCAGTTGGTTAGAGCATCTCCCCATACACAAAGGTTGGGGCTTCATCCCCCTTCGGGCACATACAAAAAGCAACCAATGAATGCATACGTAAGTGGAACAACAAACCGATTTTTCCCTCTCTCCTTTCCTCTCTCTCTCAACTCAATCAATAAATACAAAATTTTAAATGCATCTTAGCACAAGAAAAAGAAAAGTCAAGACTAAATTTCAGCCCCGGGGGATCCTTACCCAATCTTAAAGTCACCAACAATACACCATGGATCTACCCTTATTTTCAAATATGAGTAATCTCTTAGCTCATGGGAGCGTGGGGAGATGCACCTTAAACACCCAAGGGAATTCCTGCACACACATCACCACAGTTCCATTGGGGGCCTGTTAGAGGCACTCTGCCAATCAAAGGGTGTAAACACGGTTTGATAGTCTGTTTTCTGAAGTCGCCAGATTATTTCACCCCTCCTAAATATTGATCTTAATTTTCAGTTCTGTCTTGAGCTCCAGTCTGAAGCACAGCTGCCTGATTGCCCCTCATTCACATAAAACCCAACCTACCCAACTGGACACACTAAGCATAGCCCCTCTACCACTTACAAGTGATTTCATCTTTCCCAGCTGCCTCTCTAAAATTCCTTATCTGTAAAATGGGAATAACAAAAGTCCTAACTAACCCCATTGAGTTGCTGTGAGGATTAAATGAGCTAATACATATTAACTCACATAGAATAGAGCTTGGTATAAAGCTAATAACATTTACTAATATTTATATAAAACGCTTTCCACTATTACTGCACCTTAGTCAGTAAGCAAGTACTTATTGAGTGCCTGTAGATTAAGCCTTTCCTAGGCACGGAGATTCAGTGGTGAAAAACAAGGCAGGGACTCCAGCTTCATGAAGCTTATAGTCAAATCTGACTATGAATTTTAAACAGTTGTTGTGGTAAGTTGGAGTGCAGGGAAATGTAAAATTTCAAAGACATGGTTGAGGGCCCCATTGAGAATAGAGACTGAATTTATGGTGATGCTAATATAATGCTTTGTGTGACTTTTCTATAGTTAGTTTAAATAGTCAAGATAAAGGCACACAAAGGGTGAGCAATTGCTTTAATTCAAGGAAGGAGTTTTGCCAGACAGGTGTGATGGAGTTTAAGATCTCAGCTTTTAAGAATGCCTTAAGCCAGTGGTTCTCAACCTTCTTAATGCCGAAACCCTTTAATACAGTTCCTCATGTTGTAGTGACCCCCAATTTCATGGTTACAAATTGAACATAATTAAAGCATAGTGATTAATCACAAAACAATATGTAATTATATATGTGTTTTCCGATGGTCTTAGGCGACCCCTGTGAAAGGGTCGTTCAACCCCCAAAGGGGTCGCGACCCACAGGTTGAGAACCGCTGCCTTAAGCAAAGGGCCACAGAATGACCGGAAGGTCCTGGAACAGGTGTAATGGGAGTCAATGATGGAGCACGGCAGAGAGATGGAGGTTATCCTCAGAGATGGGTGTCTCAGCGAATAACCTCAGATGAAGAGTCCTGTGAGAGTGGGGTCCAGGGTGAAATGGAATTGGAGATGAGATGGTCAAGGAACTGAGATGCCACATGGACCTCGAGAGCTCCTAGGAAGATGGATGGACATGAGGTGAAAAGGAAATGGGTGCTTCCCAAGCCATTCTGCAACTGAGGGAGGGAGGGAGGGAGAGGAGGAAGAAAGAGAGTGGGCTGACTGTATGGCTTAGCATCCAAAACATAGGAGTTGTATCAGACAGTTGCAATGACATTAAAAAGCAAAGCAGCCCTGGCCCATGTTTCTCAGTGGTTAGAGTGCTGGCCCGAGCAGCAAAGCATCTAGGGTTTGATTCCCGGTCAAAGGCACATACCTAGGTTGTGGGTTGTATCCCTGGCCCCAGTAGGGGCATGTGCTGAAGGCAATCAATTGATGTTTTCTCTCCCACCAATGTTTTGCCCTCGCCCTCCCTCCTTCCTTCCCACTCTCTTAAAAAAACAACAACAAAAAAACAATCAGTGGACAAAGTATACTCGGGTAAGGATTAACAACAACAAAAAGCAAGGCATACAGTGACCTACCTCCCAACCCAGGGGTGCATGCGGGTAGGATCATAGCAGCTGACACACAGAGAAAAATTATATTCTTACAGCACACTGATCGTGCTGGGCCAGGACCTGAAGGGGGCAGAGGGGCTAAAACCTCAGCATACCTGTGCCAATCAGGTTCCATAGACTTCAGCTCCAGTTTGGAAAGGAGACCGTGGTAAGGGATGGAGGTTCCTTTTCTTGCGGTTCCCAGGACGAGAACTGGGGCAATGAATAGAGGTTCAAAACACCTACCAGCTGTGTGGCCTTCAGCAAGTGATTTGCTTCCTCTATATCTCATTTTCCTCGTCCAGATTTCCTCAATTCCTGCTCAAACCTTAACTGCCCTTCCCCTCTCCACTCCGTAAATTCCTCCCCTCCTCCTCCTCCTCCTCCTCCTCCATCTCCTCCTCCTCTTCCTCCTCCACCTCCTCATTCTATTTAGTGGCTTAAAACAACAACCATGTATTATTTCTCAAGGTTTTGTGGGTTGGTGGGTTGTTCTTCTGCCAGTCTAGACATTCAGTCTGATGGCAGCTAATATGGTTGCAAGGTCAATGTTGCCGGTAATGTTGGCCAGGGCACCTTGGCGCTTTCTCTTGTGGCCTCTCTAGTGACTATCTTAGGTTTCTACAAAACACAGTGGCAATATTCTAAAAGGATAAGCCCCAGTGTGCTTTAAAAAAATATTTTCATTGTACATATGTATATACATATCTATGCCATTTTAATCATTTCTTAAATATATTCTTTTTATTCTTGAAGACCCAATTCATATAGTACTTCCTCCGGGAAGCTCTCCAGATCACCTCTTCCTAG